TGGTTTCATCCAAACACACCCTTGATTTAGTTCGTATATGTTTCTGAAGAGAAATTTCAAGATATCCAAACTTTTTTCTGAAGCTCAGAGAAATTTCAAGATATCCAAACTTTTTTCTGAAGCTCAGCAGGGTTCGTCATGGGGTTCACCAGTTAGCTACTACTTAGGAGGTGAGTTTACCTCTTCTTTCTCGGTTTGCGTACCATTTAGCTACTACTTTTATGGTTTTGTTTTCCTCTATCAACTTTTTTCTCTAGCATTGCTTCAACAGGATTCTCGACATGCCTTTTGTATGGTGAACCCCATGACAAGTTAGCGCTGGGAATCTCTTCAATAACCCAAAGGCTATACCCATTTTCTTTCATCGGATTTTTCTGATGTACCATAGTGACGTCCTCCATCGTCCGTTGTTGGATTTTTTTTCTTGGCCAAATCGTCCTGTGTGATGGAGGGCCCTTTTTTATATATTGTTTTGTGTGCTTAAATAAACGGGTTTCATAATAGGAAAACTTACAAAATTTGTTGGAAAAAATAATTAAAGTTTTTCATTACAAAATAAGAGTTTCATATTCTTTGTGAATATTGAGGAAATAATACCCCAAACTTTGGGTCATCAGTCGAGTCTACCGGTCAACGTGGGTCCAAGGAAAAATAATAATATCGAGACCATCCTATTTGAATAACAGAACGTGAAGCTGCTGGTTTGAATAAAGGCTTTGCTTGTTGGAGGGGTAATATAAGGGCAAATGGGACGTGACGACCACGGGAGCAACAAATCAGTGATTGGGAAGGGATGGGACCGGAAGCGGAATGGAGTCATTCAGTCCCGGGAATTGTTTTTTTTTTTGTTCCAAGGATTAAAATATATTCAGCATTTTGAAATATTTTTTCAGATGTATCTAGTATTCTAAAATATTTTGTGACATATTTAGCACCATGAAATTTTTTTTTAAAAAAATATGTTCAACATCATAAAGTATTTTTTGGCGGCATCTAACACCTTTGAGTATTTTTTAAGGTGTGTCTAGCACCCAAAAATATTTTTTGGTGCATCTAGCATTAAGCTAAAAAAAATACTTCAGGGTGCTAAACATACTTAAAAAATATTTTAAAGTGTTGAATACTCCACAAAATACTTTGGGGTATTAGATGCACGTTAACCTTTTTTACAAAAATTACTTATTAATAATTATTATTAAATTATTCAATTCACCTATTAATAATAATGATTTTGTATAGTAAATTTCAACTCTTAAGTTACAGTGTTATCTCAACAAAATCTTTTTTCTCAATAAAATGATTCATAAAACCATCATATAGTGTTTTTTTTATGAATTTTTTTTTTATCTTCAGAAGCCTAATAAAAAAACAAACATTACAATATAAAAAGATTTAGGCTGGGAATTACAATGGTTTGTAAAGAAAAAAGTACAACATCATGTCATATCCTGTCCCGAGATCACTCCAATCTTATAAAATCTCGTCCCGTACCTATTTATCAGGATGAGATCAAGATGGGCCGTTCCATCCTGTGAACAACCCTAGCAATAAGTAGCTTTCGAAGGGTATAAGCACATTTGGTTTTTTTTTAGATCTTAAAATTAAATTTTGGCCTATCTTATTTATGGGTTAAAAGCTGCTTTTTTAAGCATAACTACAAAGCATCTGAAATCCGCTTATGACTTGTGCAATTGTGCTTATAGGTTGCACTACAAAAAACAACAAATTAGTAATAAAAAATTTTTCGTCACTAATTCGTTGCTAATTAAAGAGGGTATTCAACAGAAATTCTGACACAAAATAGTGACGGATTTGTGATGGAAATTTCATCCATTGCTAATTTTTTTTTATTTCACCAATTTAAAATATCACATGACAACCGCTGATTGCAACCATGTGTCATGCTGATGATCGCCACCTCATCGCCTCCTTTGTCTCACATGCCGCCACATCATCACTGTATGTCTATCTTTGTAAGTTGCCATGCCATTGCTTTGTTCATATCATCCTCATGTTTTTGTGAGCCAATTTTGTGAAGGAGTTGTGGTTCAAACATGAAATCTCTTACATGTATGCTGAAATTTTTGCCAATTGAGCTGGGAAACACCTATAAAACTTTTATACAAAAATAAATATATAAAATATTTTTAATGACAAATACAAATATATATAATAAATATTATATATATAATTTAATATATTATTATATCTCAATTTAATTTTTTTATTTAATAAAAAATTATTAATAATTAATATTTTTATTAGAATATTTAATAAAATAATGGGTATATCATGCATTTTATTTTTTTATGTTTATTTATAGTATTTTTATTTTCTATTTATATATAATATATTATTAAAAATTATCGTATATTATATTTTTATTTTAATAATAACTATTAAAATAATTGTTATATATTTATATTTTAATTTTTTGTGAAGAATTAGTGATAGAACAGCAACGAAAATTAGTGACAAAATTTCATCACTAATTTCGTCACAAAATATTTTTTGTTGCTAGATTTTGTCACTAATTTTAGTAATAGAATTTGTGACGAATTAGCGATCAAAAAAATTTCATCACTAATTTTGTAGTTGGTGAGAACCATTGAAGACATAATAATTGCATAATACCTCCAATATTTAGTATAAAAGCTAGATACTTAATTTGCTGACATTAAGAAAATTAGTCAAGTAATTTATTTGTAATAACTAAGTATTGTCTTTTTTAAAATATTCTTATTAATCATATATACTGAACTACCCATTGATAGGAACCACTTAACATGTCCAATTATTATGAGGATTATTGGGGTAAAATGAATAAATATAAGAAACAAAATAGATTGAAATATTATAATTAGAACCAAATTGAATTTACAATTAGCTTTTATATTAAAAACTAGAAGTAGTATTATTTAATAAAGTTCATCCCCTTTTCAATTATTTTATAACTAACTTACTTTTTCAACAATAATCCAAACAACTATTTTTATAAAGTCAATTTAAATATAAATCAAACTACCCAATTTAATGTTTACTTAATATTAAGTTTAAAAAATTCAATTGAAAATAAGGTTTTTCTTTCTACTGCCAAACCAAATGGGCCCTAAAAGCTTGTGGTCCTTGGTCACTTTGTGCCTTCATAAATTACCGTTTTTCATTAGCTTCCTCCTCAAAACATTACAATTACTAATTACTAGTCAAATTAATTAGGTCGATTTTGAGCGTCATATATTGTACCGAATGCTGAAAAATAAATTATACTTTTTACTATTTTAAAAATATAATAAAAATAAAAGAAAATAACAAAAAAACACCCGTTGAATTTTAAAATGATAAATAGATGATTTAGACAAATTTTGACATGTCAAACCTATTATAAGAATAGTCAGCATCACTTATTTGTCTTCAACAATATTTTTTTGTCATTCTCCTAGAAATAAATTCTATATCCAATATTGACATTAATATTTATATCAATTCTATTGATGATATTTTAATTATTGACTTGAATTGAAAAATCCACTCATAAAGCAATAATAGATAAATACGACTATTAACTCCCACATAATTAACAGAATGAAAAAGACACTATGGTTTAGAGGGTGATCGAGATCCAATTGCTGGCTAGTTAAATGCTGACATTCTCCATCACATAATGCTAACAGTATGAGAGTGAATCTACCAAGTATAGGAAACCTTCTGGCAAGTTAAGCATTGTACTCCCTCTGTCCCTTATTATAAGATTTTATTTTTTGAATAGGTTTATTCTTTTTTATAAGATCCTTTTTGAGGTTGTCTGGACATTTAATGTACTATTACTTATTTTGCCCCTAGTTTAATGTATTTAATTTTTTCTCTTTATTTATTTATCTCACTATTACTCTCTCATATCTACCCATTTATATATAGGGGTATATTTAGAAAAAATTATATTTACTACATATTAATTGCTTTAAATTAATTTTAACTGTTTTCTTAAACTGTGTAATTTAGTTAAAAGTATCTTATAATAAGGGATGGAGTAGTATATGTTCTTTTAATACACATTTGGTTATTGAATTAATTAATACGGTGCTCCTCACAGCAGATTATTTTATAGATGCGTATAAAGGATAGAGAGTAATCACAACTAAAAATAAATAAAATGAGTTTTCTAGAAACAAACATGATTTATTTATATTTTGTTATTTATTATTTAATTTTAATAATAATTTTATAGAGTAACTAAATTTTTTGGTTCAAATTTGATGCAATTTTTAAGATAAGGAGTCAAGGCGGAGGGGAGATGAAAAAGGAAATAGAAAAAATTCTTTTGTTCTTTTTTTTCTATGCATAAGTACCCTGTTCAAATTATTATCAGATACAAAATATGAACACATCCCTTTTAAAAATATTAATTCACCATGTTATAAGGGACTAACCTATTTTTATTAGACCCAATCTCCAAGAGAAAATTAATTTATATTTTTATAATTATTCATATTTCCATAAATCCCCTCAATTAAATACTGTTATCTCTCTTCATTAATTTAAAGCATCCTTTCTTTTTTTTTTGTTGGGGGAGGGGACATTCTTGTAACTTTGCAAATTTGTCCATCACTTATTAGCAGACTAGTCAGTTTGTCTCTTCTACCCGTCGTTGCTTCGCTGAAATTTACTTTAGTCGTATTGCTTCCAGATTCTTGTGTTCCTATTGGTGTAGAATAACACACAATATGCAGGAAGCAAGTCAAGTCTTCACTCGGTTTCTCTCATTTTCCACACCTTTTTATTTTTTTGGTTAAATCCATTTTTTCTTCTTCTTTCTAATTCCATGACTTTTCTTTGCGTTACGATAGATTCTCAGGTCAATGCATGAAGCAAGTCAAAGTCTTCACTCGTTTGCATAATTACGCCGGTGTCTCTCTTTCACCTTGCAGCGGAGAGCAAACTAATTTCCTTCGTTTCTTCTAAGTTCTGATCCATCTGTTTTCCCTTCCTTCCACAAATCCCACATGGCGGCTTCCGTAACTCTGTTCTTGCTCTTCGCAGTGCTTTCTGCAAACCAAGTTATAGCTGAAACCAATGATACCACCGTCATCCGTTTGGGTTCTTGGCTCTCCCCAAAATCAAATTCCACTTCATGGGCGTCACCTTCTGGTCATTTCGCCTTCGGCTTTTATCCGCAAGGTAAAGGCTTTGTTGTTGGAATATGGCTGAGCCATGAACCTGAGAATATCACTGTATGGACGGCTTATCGCAACAGGCCACCATTATCATCAGATTCTGTGATCGAGTTAACTAAAGACGGCCTAGTTCTGCTTAAAGACACAGGGATAAAAGGATCCATTACTAATGCGTCATTTGCAGGGCGTGCACATTCAGCGTCTATGCTTGATTCGGGCAATTTCGTGATTTATCATAAGAATCGAAGTGTTATCTGGCAAAGCTTCGATCTCCCCACTGACACCATATTAGGAGGTCAAACTTTATCTCCTCAACAAAATCTGGTCTCTTCTTTGTCCAAATCCGACCACTCGAGTGGAAACTTCATTCTCATCGTGCAGGATGATGGGAATCCTGTGGCCCACCCTGTGAACAATCGAAGGAGAGATGATGCTTACTATGCCCCCATGGCTTCTGTGTATGTCTCGCTTACTCTTAATCTTACAGGCTTTCTTTGCTTGGTTGATGGAAGAAATACTACTTTAAGGGTTCTGGGGCATAGTAACATTACTGGGTATAACACAAGCCTAGTCTACCGTGCAACACTTGATGTGGATGGGATATTTAGATTGTATGTGCACAGACTTGAGAGGAATGCCAAATCAACTGTCTATATTGTGGCGCGTAATCTTCTTGATCAATGTGATTTCAAAAGTTTTTGTGGCTTCAACAGTTATTGTTCCTCCATCTCTGGCAAAGGTGTTTGTCATTGTTATCCTGGATTCACACCCATCAATAATGTGAATGAAAGCATGTTTTTGGACTGTGAACCAACCAGCAAATATGACTGTAAAACTAGTAAAGATACAAAGATGGTATACAATGTTAGTAATCCATTCAAACATATGGAATGGGGTCTTATTCCTTATTTGGCCATGTCCATGGAAATAGAAGCTTGTGGGAAGTCTTGCAATGAAGACTGTGATTGTGGGGCAGCGTTATATGATGAAGGAATCTGCAAAATGTTTAGCCTTCCGCTTAGATTTGGCAGAATTAATCATAATGTATCAACGACAGCCTTCTTCAAGTTGCCTTCAACGAATAAGATTCCTCTACTAAATGTAAAGAAGCCAGAGGTTCTTGTTGATGACAAGAAAAATCTGATTTTTACTCTGGTTATCATTCTAGGTACGATTTTATTCTTCTGTTTGGTCTTTGCAATATCTAGTTTCTTCATTTATATCCGTAAAGTCTATTCATACGCAAAGCTCTCCACTAGTAGCGAAAATTTGGGTTTCGTTGAGGATTGTGGTTTGCGACCTTTTGCCTTTGATGAATTGGCAAACGCAACGGGAAATTTCACAGAAGAGATTGGTAGGGGATCTTTTGGGATGGTTTACAAAGGTACAATTGGAGAAAGCAACAGAAGGATTGCAGTGAAGAAACTAGACATTGTCATTGATGGAGGAGAAAGAGAATTTCAAGCTGAAATCACTGCAATTGCTAGAACTCATCACAGAAATCTGGTTCAACTCATTGGTTATTGTATCGATGGTTCAAGAAAGCTTCTTGTTTATGAATACATGAGCAATAGATCTCTGGCAGATTTTCTGTTCAAGGCTGAGATGCATTTATCTTGGAAACAAAGAGTCAAAATTGCATTGGATATAGCAAGAGGAATCCTATATCTGCATGAAGAATGTGAAGTTTGTATTGTCCATTGCAATATCAAGCCTCAAAACATCCTCTTGGATGAAATGTGGACAGCAAAAATATCTGATTTTGGACTTGCAAGGCTATCATCAATACCAGAACATTCAAGAATCAGAAGTATCAATGAATTAACAAGTGGCTATGTGGCACCTGAACGGCAAAAAGATGCATCGACATCTATAAAAGTTGACATTTACAGCTATGGCGTGGTGCTGTTAGAGATCATATGTTGCAGAAGGAATATAGATGTGAATGTTCCTTCGGAAGAGGAAATTATGCTTTCAAGTTGGGTGTATAATTGCTTTGTGAGAGGGGAATTGAAGAAACTTGTATTAGTGGATGAAGATGTGGAATGGATGACATTAGAAAGAATGGTGAGGGTGGCGTTATGGTGTGTCCAAGAGGACTTGTCTCTACGTCCTTCCATGAAGAATGTGATACTGATGTTGGAAGGGTTGAAACATATTCCGATTCCTCCATCTCCAATCCCACTTGCTTGATAATCTTCAAAAATATGGAGAAGCTTGCTTAATAATTTGAGTGATATATGTGTGGCTCGAATTATTCATTAATCGAGTTGGAATCAATTTATGTAAAAGATTTAAGTTGCTCATTGCAAATAAGATGTGTCACTCCATAATTTGATAGATACGTAATTTCATTATGTCTAAGCTTGTGATTGATAATTGTATTTGATCTGACTCGGGACATGTCAATATGATTGTAGTTTGTCCATTATTTCACTAATTAAAATAATATAATATAACAGGGAGTTTATTTGCAGCTTAGAATTCACAGAATTTATTTACATATAATTTAAACTGAGCCTGCTATCTGAATAAAAATGAAGTTTAGAGGGATATTTAGCTATTACTAGCATATTATGTTTCATTAGTGAAATAAACCGAATAATTGCTAGCAAGAAGGATTATAAGCATAAATTAGAAAGTTTAAGGGGCCATTAATTAATATGGTAGCTGGAAAATGTACCGATGGAAAGGGCCAAAAAAATGACATATTTTCCTTTACATGGTCCATTTGATTGCACCATTTTTCAACAACAAGCCTTATCTCATTAAGTGGTATCGACTACATGAATCACACGATACTATTATATTCTATCAACAAACAAGTTTTTAGATATGTTTCGTTTAATTAATGACCTCATTGAGCGTTCTTCTCGGTCTTCCCCTACTCTTTTTTATGAGATTCCATACTATCTGATCTACTCTCCTTATCGGGGCCTTCAATAGCTTTCTCTGCACATGCCTAAATCACCTCAAATGATATTCAACCATTTTCTCTTCAATAAGCACCATATCAACTCTTGCTTTGATATTTTCATTTCGAATTTTATCTTTTCTTGTATGACCACACATCCATTTTAACATCCTCATTTCTACTACTTTAACTTTATACTCTTATTTTCCTTTTATCGCTTAACATTCATTACCGTACAACATAGCTGGTTTTATAATAGTTTGATAAAATTGTTTTTTAAGCTTCTCATATACTTTCTTATCATAAATAACTTCAATAACCTTCCTTCACTTTAACTAACTAGCTTGTATTCTAATGAGTAAATTCCGACAGCAGTAGATTTCCCTATGTTTAACGAAAAATCTGCTATCTCATGTATGGGGGTCATTTTCCTGGCTACCTAAAAAATTACCATATGGCCCCTAATTGTTTTTTTCCTTGGTTCTTGCTTCGCTCTCGCATATCTTTTACAGTATGTTTTTGGTTTGCTTCCATGGTCTTCTGCCGAACCTCTCTCTCTCTCTCTCTCTCTCTCTCTATTTTTCTTAGCTTTGTTAAACCACATCAATTTCCGACATTTTTCTGTTCGTTCTTGTTTTTGAATCGTGGATTTGATTTGGATCATTTTGATCCGATGATTTCTTGTTTTTCTTGGATTCCTAATGATTATTTTTTGGATTTATTTGGTTTGTTGGAGAGGTGCATCAGGATTTATGATATTTATTAATGATTTATAATAATAAATAAAATTATAATTAATACTTATTTTGATATATTTCTTTAATAACTATATTTATAAATAATTATTTTAACATTTCTATTTTAATAACAAGTAATTAATTATTTAGTATTATTTTAAATCGAGGGCATCAAAATCATTTGCTCCTCACTTTTTTCCAATTCCATCATCATTTTCATCCTACAAAATATAAATCATTTTTCATTTCAACTCGCACAAAACAAGTTAGCTTAGGATTTTTCTATTCCTTTCCTTTTTATTTCATTCTCTTCATTTCTACAATCAATTCTTCCTACAAAAGAGGCCCTAAGGGGTTTCTTGTCAAGTTTTAAAAACTAGGGTTATTTGCATATGACTCCATGTTCAAGGAAATTTATTATAATTTGTATTTTTATTTATAAAATATCCTGATTTTTGAAGATGGAAACCAATTTTTGAAACTCCTTTTAATACAAAATTGTATGAGTGAAATTAATTTGAAAAAAAACTTGGGGAAAAAAAAACTTTGTAGAGAAAAGTCAGGGTCATACCGTGATTGTTACTACAATAATATTAATGCATTATTGCCAGAACATATCTTTTTATTGGACAATTGGACGTCATTTGTACGTCTTCCTTGGCCATTTTCTTGTATGGACGAATTAGTCATGATGGACAATCAGTAATTGACAGATTGGCAACTTCTCAACACTTTCGGGGAAGACTTGGAAGACTTTGAGATTATGGCCACCATTTCACCAATCCTTTTTATTTATCAGCGATTCCGCAGTTCTGTGAGATTTTAGTGGCCATGGCTACCATTGCATCAAGCATCTACCTTCTGTTTTTGGTATATTTTCTATGTGAAACAGTGGTATTCGCAGAACCCATACCCCTTGGCTCGTTCCTTTCCCCTCCCAATTCATGGTCTTCACACTCTGGTCAATTTAAATTTGGGTTTTACAATCAAAGCAGCGGCTTCAAAGTTGGAATCTGGTTACTTGATGGGACTAATAAAACAATAGTCTGGACTGCAAATCGCGATGACCCTCCTGTTTTCCCAAATGCAAAGCTTGTTCTAACCAAGAGAGGTGAGCTTTCTCTACAGGCAGGTCAAGGGCAACAGAAGGTTATTGCTCACAGTAACAATGGAACTGTTTCCTCTGCTTCCATGCTTGATTCTGGAAACTTTGTTCTACGAAACAAAAGTTCACACATCCTTTGGCAGAGTTTCGATTACCCAACTGATACCCTCTTAGGGGGTCAAACTCTACCTTGTGGGAGTCAATTGGTATCGAGTTCATCAGACACCAACCAATCTTCTGGAAGGTTTCAACTCTGGATGCAGGCTGATGGAAACCTTGTTCTGTACCCACGATATTCTGGTCGTACAGCTTCTGATGCTTACTGGGCATCTGGTACTTACCATGGCAGAAGTTTCAAATATAATCTTTTCCTCAACAACACAGGTCCTCAGCCTCTATGCATTGTAAATGCTAGTAGTTCCAACTCAGCGATAGTCTGGTGCGAGGATTATAGCAGCTTCAAAGGAAACAATACTATTTATCGCGCAACTATTCATTCTGATGGAGTTTTACGACTCTATGCTCATTTTGAAGACGCACATGGGAAACACCAAGTTATAAAGTTGTGGTCACCACAAGGGTTGGACAATCAGTGCAACTTGAAGACATTTTGTGGGTTCAATAGCTATTGTACCATTAATGACATAGAGCCAGGTTGCAATTGTCTTCCCGGAACTGATTTTATAGATCCAAGTCATAAGAATCTTGGATGCAAAAGGAACTTCTTAGAAGCAGAATGTAAAGGTGGGAAAGATAATGCTACTTTTTATTACATGTCCCCAATGAAAAGTATGAAAACCGATGATCTTCCTTATACAGTGGAAGACATTCTGGAGGAGGAATGCCTATCATCTTGTTTGCAAGATTGTTACTGCGGGGCTGCCTTCTATGAAGATAATTGGTGCAAGAAAGAAAAGCTTCCATTCAGATATTTTACAAGAGAACCAGGGTCTTCCCTCACAATATACTTCAAGGTGGGCAATGTAAGCCTCAAAGGAAACAGTACGTCTTCCATCAAGAAAACCAGTAAGAGAGCAATTCTTCTTATCATTGTTGTCATCTTAGGTTTTGCTATTCTTTTATGCTTAGCTATTGCAGTCTCTAGCCGATTTATATACAAGATTGGAATTTTAAGTTACAAGAGGTTGTTGGAGATAGGAGATTTGGACTTGAATGAAGGGATTACACTGAGGGTATTTTCCTACAATGAGTTGAAAAAAGCAACGAATGGTTTCAAACAAGAGGTGGGTAAGGGTTCCTTCGGATCAGTTTATAGAGGAACTTTGCACAAAGGAAAAAAATTGATTGCAGTAAAAAGGCTACAAAAGTTAATTGAAGAAGGAGAGAGAGAATTTCAAGCTGAAATGCAGGTCATTGGAAAAACCCACCACAAAAACTTAGTTCGCTTGTTGGGATATTGTGCTGAGGGGTCCAAAAGGCTTTTAGTTTATGAGTACATGAGTAATGGCTCCCTTGAGAAGCTTATCTTTGGTCATAGCACTATACGTCCAGATTGGGATCAGAGAAGAAGAATAGCACTGGACATTGCAAGAGGCTTACTATATCTGCATGAACAATGCAGGGTTCCCATCATTCACTGTGACATAAAGCCTCAAAACATATTGATGGATGAGTTTTTGACAGCTAAAATATCAGACTTCGGGTTAGCCAAACTTCTAATGCCGGATCAAACTAGAACCTTCACTCAAGCTAGAGGGACAAGAGGTTATTTGGCTCCGGAATGGAGTAAGAACACTCCAATAACAGTAAAAGCAGATGTTTATAGCTATGGAATTATGTTACTGGAGATTGTATTTTGCAGAAGAAGCTTAGTGGTCAATATGTCGAATCCGGAGCAAATTGTTCTGTCCAACTGGGTGTACAAGTGCTTTGCTCGACGAGAGCTAAACAAGCTGGTTGTTGGGGAAGAAGTGGATAATAGTTTACTGGAGAATATGGTGAAAGTGGGGTTATGGTGTATTCAAGATGAACCTTTTCTTCGGCCATCCATGAAGAGTGTGGTGTTGATGCTTGAGGGAGTTAGGGAAGTGGCTATTCCTCCTTGTCCATCTCCTGATTCTATTTGACGTCATCACTTTGCTAGGAAACAAAAGCAAACAGGATGTTGCAATTTCATGTGGCTTTCATTTGATTTTTTTCCTTTTCTTATTGTGTTTCTGTTTAATTTTATCTTTAAGCTAGCGTCTACCTATTTGCCAGGAATAAAAAGGAATTATGAAATATATTAATTTTGATATTTTTCCCTTTGAAAAAAGATTTTCCAACTTACAGTGAGAACTCAGATTTTTAGTATTGAGTAAAATATACTCTGTAAACATGTTTCAAAATAATAGTACTACTTTCCATCTTTAATATAAAGTTCAGTTGTTAATATTATAAATTTTCCGTGTATTAAAAGATTGTGAATTTAATATCATTCATATTTATCTTATTATAATATTTGAAAGGTTTATTTATGATATTAGATTTTGCAAAATCAAAGATTTCAACTAATGTTGTTAAGAGAGAGAGTTGATGCACACTATACTGCTCTTTTTTTTTTCTTTTTTCTTTTTTTCTGGTATATGGTTTTGTCCCATTGAGTTTTTGTAACAACCCCTCCTCTCGATAATATTAACCAAAAGGAATAAGAAATATTCTTCTCTTCTTTCTGATTCTCTCCTCTCTACTTTTATAATATCATGCTTGTTCATGTGAAAATCAGATTTTTTGTAGTAGCTGAAAAATACTCTCTATCCTCTATATGTATACTATAGAATAATACTCTCTCTGCTCCTTATTACAAGGCATCTTTTAGAAGCAATTTTTTTGTCATAAGTATAAGTCATCAACTAACCCATTAATTGTTCTTTTCTAATTTTATTCCTATTATTATTAATCAAGGTTTAGTATTAATAAGTTTATCGAACTCCGTGTTTCTCTACCCACATTATTTAAGTTGGGGTAAATTTGAAAAAAAAAATTATTAATTTAAGACAGATTTAATGTTTTAGTTTGTCATTTATTGATATGTGAGAATTAGTTAAAAATGTCTTATAATAAGAAGAAAAAGGAGTATACTGCAAGGATAATTGTGTTTAATTCGCTCAATCAACGAAATGTAAAATACTATATATATATATATATATTTATTTATATGATGCTTGACTTATTCCTATACTTGGCAGATTCACTCTCATCTTATTAGCATTATGGCATGTAGAAGGTAGCTAGTCCTCAACTCACCAGCAATTGGGTCTCGATTTTTATATAACCACAATCTTTTTTTATTTTCATTCTAATTAATATTGCGGACGTTAATGATTAATCATATTTATCTATTACTGCTTTATGAGTTGATTTTTCAATTTAAGTCAATAAATAAAATATCATCAATAGAATCGATCGATATAAATATAAATATCAGTGTTGAATATAAAATTTATAATTAATTATACAAGAATATTATATCAATGATAAATATTATTTCCCAGACATTCGACCATGCAATATATGACATTCAAAATCTACCTAATTTGGCTAATGATGATGATGATGATGCTTTACCAACAAGGGTTGGGTTTGATATAAGTAGCTAATTCCTTATAACATGACAAATTAGGATTCAAATCTCCCTTAGAAGAGGTATTTATATTTAGTGTCTAGTAATGTCGTAAACAAAATTGCCTCTAACAAGATGATAGATGTCACTGTTAAAAAAAAAAAAGAAGGTAAAAGTAAAGATTTGAAGAGAAAGTCAATATACCTCCAATCCTAAATATAAGGCTGATTGGCAGTTAGGTTTGACCCTAATAATAAGACTTTAATGTACTTTATTTCCAAATTTATATGGCTTGTTCCCAAAATATCTTTATTGATTGTAAAGGGTTCCCACCAAGAGGTAATTCCAATACACATGATTAAATAGGTTAATTTAGGAAAATCAACACACATTTATTATAAATACCTAATTTAACTAATTTTTTTATTTTTTTCAAATTATTTATTTAATTAAATATTAACCGAGATAATATAAGGTAGTAATTCATGAAAGTGACAAGTGATAAAAGATTTTAGACCACATACTTTTAATTCCAACAAGCAGCTTCATGTTCCATCGTTCAAAGATGATGGCTCGACTTTTCTCCACATTATTATTTTCCATGGCCCATGTTGACCGGTTGACTCGACTAATGAACCAATATATGACATTCAAAAATCAACCTAATTTGACTGGTAATTAGTAATTTATGAATTGACAAAGGATAAATAAGAAAAAAAAGGACCCATACGTTATCATTCAAAAATGATGGCTTCTTCATCATATGTTTATTTTCCATGGACCCTCATTGACCCGTTGACTCGATGACCCAAAGTTTGGGGTATTGTTTTTCTCAATATTCATAAAACCTATGAAACTCTAATACTTTTGGTGAAAATAATTTTTTAAACTATTTTTTCCAATAAATCTTGTAAGTATTTTAAAAGCATAGTTGGTAGGTAACAATAATACAATTAATTTTTCAAATTTTATCAAATGAAAAGTCCATCTAATTTAATTCGTAAAACTTTGGGAGGTTATCAGAAAAGTTCATATATATTTGTTGGGTCAAAACTGAAAGAAAGTTCCAACGACATAGAACTGACAAGACACGAACAAACTGGGGCTTTTTTTTTTTTTAAAAAAAAAGAGATACTAATAGTGAAATAAAAGTTATAAAACACTAAAAATACTGTAAAAAGTATTTACCAAAATTCTTCATTAAAAATCATTCACTGCACGAACAAATTTGAATTTGTACAGAAATCGTTTGTGCCAAAAAACGATTTGCACCTCTTGGCTAACACACTAGATGGGACCTTTTGTGGGAAAAAAAGAAAAAACAATTCAAACCGAAATCGTTCTCATATGGAACTATTTCAATTTTTAACCAGCAATACACGCCTTGAAAATCATGAGCTTTTAGTATAAATGAGCTTTTGTACCTGGCCCTAAACAAGGAGGTTGGGCTTGGATTCGCCCATAAGTCTTTTTTAAATTGTTTTTTTAGGAAAAAATGATAGAAAAATAATTTTTGAATTTGAAAATTACTAAATCGTCACTGAAATAAGCAAAATTTCAGTTTATGCAGAGCTGACCAAATTGGGATTTCTTAATTTTCTGAAATAATCATGTTGCCTTTAATTTTTTTATGGAAAAAAAAAATCAAGCACCCTCACCGGGTGGTTGACATGCATAAAATTGCACGCAGTAGCAGTAGCTAAGACAGATAAATAAATATAAACATGCATGTGGATGTGCACAATTACATATGGATTGGTACGAATGCAAAAAGCTGCATAATTTTGAAGATTATTAAGCAAGTAGGATTGGAGATGAAGGAATTGGAGTATCTTTCAAACCTTCCAGCATCAGTATCGCGTTCTTCATGGAAGGACGTAGAGACAAGTCCTCCTGGACACACTATAAGGCTACCTTCACCACTCTTTCCAGTGTCCTCCATTCCACATCTTCATTCACTACTAGTTTGCTCAATCCCCTCTCACAAAGCAATTATATACCCAACTGGAAAGCTTTATTTGCTCGTCTGAATAAAGCAACTTTCAATTCTATATTTCTTCTGCCGCATATGATTTCCAACAACATCACACCATTGCTGTAGACGTCAACTTTTATGGATGTTGATGCATCTTTCTGTCATTCAAGTACCACATGGCCAATTGTTGATTCATTACTAGTTTTGTTTCTTGAAATTTCTGGCATTGATGATGGCCCTGCAAGTCCAAAATCAAATATTTTTGCTGTCGACATTTCATCCAAGAGAATGTTTTGAGGCTTGATATTGCCGTGAACAATACAGGTTCACATTCTTCATATAGATATAAGACTCCCCTTTGCTACATCCAATGCAATTTTGACTCTGTTTCCAAGATAGATGCATCTCAGCCTTGAGCAAAAAATTTGCTAGAGACCCGTTGCTCATATATTCATAAACGAGAAGCTTTCTTGAACGATCAAAGCAATAACCAATGAGCTGAACCAAATTTCTATGAATAGTTCGAGCGATTGCAGTGATTTCAGCTTGAAATTCCCTTTCCCCTTCGTCAACAACATCTAGTTTCTTCACAGCTATCCTTCTATTATTTCCTTGGATTGTCCCCTTGTGAACCACTCCGAAAGATGCTCTACCAATCTCTTCTGTGAAATTTCTTGTTGAATTCACCAATTCGTCATAGGCAAATGTTCGTAAACTACAATCCTCCGTGAATCCTAGATTCACACTTGCAGATAGCTTTTTGTACGAATGGACTTGACCCTTGTAGATGAAGAAAATAGACATTGCCAGGACTAAGCAAACAAATGAAATTGAACCTAGAGTGATGGCTAGCAAAGTAAAAATTAGATTTTTTTTTTTTTGTCATCAACGAGAACCGCTAGCTTTGAAGGAATGATATTTGTTGAAGGATGATGCTTGAAGAAGGCTGCGTTTGACACATTATGATTAATTCTGCCATATTTAAGCAGAAACCCATACTTCTTGCAGCTGCGGCCTTCATGTAACGCTGCCCCCACTACAAAAAATTCGACCTTCAGCGGCGACAAAAGTCGCCGCTGAAAGTCCCAAAGTCGCCGCTGAAAAGTTTCAGCGGCGACATTTTGTCGCCGCCAGGTCGTCGCCGTAGCGGCCGTGGCTGAAACTTATCAGCAGCGACAAAAATAGTCGCCGCTGAAAGTGAATTTTCAGCGGCGACTGAAAGTCATATCAGCGACGACTTTTCGTCGCCGCTGAAAGGTGAGAGTTTCCCACGGGAAAGAGTCGCCACTGAAACATAAGAATCAGTGGCGACTAATGTCGCCGCTGATTGTGGCTTCAGCGGCGACTAAAGAGTAGCCGCTAAATCTTTTTTCAGCGGCGACTCTTTAGTCGCCGCTGAAGCCACAATCAGCGGCAACAAAAGTGTCGCCGCTGAAGCTTTTTTCAGCGGCGACATTAGTGTCGCCGCTGAATCCTTTTTCAGCGGCGACATTTTGTCGCCGCTGAAGCTTGTTTTAGTGGCGACCTAAAAGTCGCCGCTGAAGCCATAATCAGTGGCGACACTTATGTCGCCGCTAAAACAAGCTTCAGCGGCGACAA